TTTTTTTTTTTTTTTTTTCCGTTTAAAACAGAAGGCTCTGCCATATTGTGTGACACTGGTGTAATTGCATGGAAATGGCCGTGTGTTCTACCTCTTGTTACCTGTTTTAAGTGTTATGGTAACATCACACTGCTGGCCATTTCTCTATAATTACCCTCGCTATCTAGCTAATTGGCTTTGCTTGAGTCTTGCATTGACAGTAGAGGTTTGAAACGCTTGACGTGCTTGATGGATGGTGAATATGTTTGTTTTTTTTTCTTTTCCAGTTTGTGGAGTTGCTTTGTTTTCATAGTTTTACTCTAACCGAAGAGACAGAATGTCGTCCCCTCCCCCCCTTTTTTTGTAAGACTTTGTGTGTTAAGCTGTACGACCAAATTCATTAACTGTCTATGTACCTACCACAGCTGTTCCAGCTTTTTGTCCCTTTAAATCTATGCACCACTCGATTTTTATTGACAACTTGGTTTTTCCAATTTGAGCAGTACAACAAACGCCAAGTTCTCCTTCGTAAGTAAATGTATTGAAACAACACTTTATTTAGGATGGATTAAATGCATTATTTCCATTTCCCTCTTTACAACCCCCACTGTGGTTTCAGATTTAGTCTCTCTTGTTCAGATTTTGACCATTTGAAAGGGTTGGTCTCCATGTGAATTCACCTCACGTATTTGAAGATCCAGTTTTCAGTCTCTCTGTAATATGTTAAATATTTACAATATCCAGAAATCCGATGTTTTCTGTTACATCTCAGACATTTGGGGGAAATTGAATCTTAACRAGGAGATGGCTTTTGGTTGTTACTGTTTCTTTGTTTATTACAGACACCAGCACCTTATAAAACCAGATCAGAGTGGCATTGCTTTGTTTTTCTTTTTAGACAAACTCCATATATTTTTTGAACAATATTACATTTGCACTAAATAAACAAGAATAAACTTTGCAGTTGTGGATGCATTTAAGAGTAATTTTAAGAGGACAACTTGCTGTTCATTGCTGGTTTTGGCATCAGAGGCTCTTGATGCAACAGGCTCAAGAGTCTTTTTTTTAATTTTATTTTTAAAGAAAAAAATGATTTGTGGTTTAGTGGGAAGGTTGCCTTTTTGTATAGAGCTGTTTTCTATATAACAGAAGATTTAAAGCAGCTGCAGATTGTAAGGATTTGTGATCCTGCTTGTTGGATGCCAAAGTTCTACAAAGAGGATGGAAATAAACTGGAAGGTCTTTGGCTAAAACTGTACATTTTGGCTTTCTCTAAAATGCTTTGAAAATGCTTCTAGTGCTTAAGACCTTTATTGAACGATTTGGAGAAACTAAAACCTAAACAGCAAAGGTACGACTGGGTTTTAAACTAGTTATTTGAACTAATCAGTATTTTAACAAAAACCTATTTTTATGGTGCATCAGTAGATTATTTGTCTTAGTTATAATCTTGATATATCTTTGAGTAAATATTAATATTTAAATCAAACTACACCCAGTTTACCAATTTATTCTAAACTAGTACCTTCTGTATCGTCTCATCTCGCCTCTCAGCTGCTTACCTGTCTCTCTTAAAGAAACTATTGCTTTTATAAAGAAATTTCATGTAGAATAAGTAATATTTTCCCCCATCTTCTTATAGTAATGAATGTAATTAGTCTGTGTGGTTTGTAATATTGTAAAGGCCAGTTGACCAGTTAATCTCTACATATTCTTTTTGTCTTATTTACTTTTTGGATAACTCAATGTAGACATTACTGAAAAATATTAGGAATCTTGTATTGATTTACCTATTTAGAAAACCAACAGATCACACTGGTGCAAAGAATTGTTTTTGTTCTGGTGTAATGCTTTTGTGTGTTTGTAAATTACGAAGGTGTGGACTCTTGTTTGCTGTTTTTATTTTTTATATTTTTGTGCTTCAGCCTGATATTCCCTCCCGTCCCCTGCAGAGCTGTCTTATAAACTTTGTCCTGAGTTTGGCTTGTGTAACACATTAGCACCGTGCCATGCAGAGTGATGCTTGTTTTCCTTTAATCAGTTCTGTCGCTTGCAGGTGTTAGGTGTTTTTTTTTTTTTTTTTTTTTTTTTTTTTGATTCTGTCTGATTCGCAAAATACTGCTCACTTCTGGCTTTTTTTTTCTCATATTGAAACTTCTTGAAGCATTGCGATATATCAAGTTGTTATGCCAGTCACTTGTAGTAATGTGACATCCATGTGGTCTTTAGCTGCAAACACAAATTCAAATGGGATCGAGCCATTCTTTCTCTTCCATGTAGTAGTTTTAAATTTTAGCCACCCGCCTTACTTCAGCCCTAAATAGTTTGGCTAATACACTCACAGAGCTTCAAATCAATTCAGACCTTCACACATCTAAAAGTGTTGGACTATGAGAGTCGTTTTTAAAGCATTTCTAGCCTCGACACAGGCTTTTTAGATTCAATTTGCAAAAACTCGGAGAACTACCTCAGAGCGGCGTCTGGTGCTAGATRTATCACCACGCACTGAAGAGAAATAGTAAATTCTCGCGGTGACCAAACTTACATGAGAGCGCCGTGTTTTCTTCATGAATGGGGAGGAAAAAAAACCCTACTGGGTCGCTTTGGTTAGGGGCAGTTTTAGAGGACCAAATCTTTTTGAATCCTTTGTCTCGTTGTTTTGAGGGAAATCATTTAAGACGGTGAAGGAAACAAGCCAGCATGTAGAAATCAAAGAAGCGGACTGAGTGAGTCGACTGTTCTAAATTCTGATTGATTGATGTGTGATGTAAGAWGCAGCAGCAAAGGTTTACAGTGATTTGTAGCCAATCACATTAGTCTGTGGACTTTAGATGATTGGTTTTTAGTGTATAATCCAAGTAAGGGTCTCTGCAGTCAATAGGTGGGAGTTTCTTGAGCGTGGCCATAGTTTGGGTTTGCAGTGATTGGTCAGATTGACGTGTAGGCGTGGCTTGGGTTAAAGCAACCRGGTAGAAGAGGAAACGATCACATTATATTTACATGTTCACAATATTAAAATGATCATCTCCATCTGACCAATCACACACGCCCAAGAAATATCCATTTTTTGACTGCAGAAACCTCCTCCTCGTAAAATCGCATTTTTAGTTTGTCAAAACCACTATTGTCTATTTCAGCTTTACCCCCAAAAAGTTAAAACCTCATTTTTTTTTTTAAGTGTTTATAGCCATGAGATCGGATGCATATTTTTCCTGCTGTTTCAACCCAGAACTGCAATAAAACGTGAACTCTGTTCACCTCCTCCGTACTATCAGCTATACTCTGCGCCATTTTTTTTTTTTTTTTTACAAGGTTTGCATGTGACATTTACCAAAGGGAATCGACATGTTTAAACATATTAAACTCTGATGAATCATTCGACGAAAGGTACATAAGAGGCCGGGTGTCAGTTATCTCCAGATTTCATCAAAGCTGTAAACATTGCAGCTTTTTTTTTTTTTTTTCTTCCCCTATGTGCCTTTAGTCGAATCTCTCCTCTGTCGACCCAGACTTTTGGGCAAGCGAGTTCTTTGTAATGACATTTTTATTTTTTTTTTAAATCAATCATGCAACCTAGCATGTTAGATGCTGCATAGAACGATCAGTATTCGTGTTTGCACTTTCAAAGCAGTCTCTCAAAAAGCGATTAAGGAGAAAAAAAAGGCGCCTACATGATGTTGGGCACAAAGTTAAAAAACTGACGAGGTATTTTGTGCTATCAATAGGAATTATAAGGAATAATGACTTTAAGAAGCTTTTCTAAAAATGTTATATCTCTCTCTATATATATATATATCTATATATTCGTGGAGTACCTCATAAGCCTGATATATGCTGCATTGACTTTTTTTCTCTTCCTCCTCCTTGTTAGCATACTTCATATTGTCAAATAACATTCTGATTTTCCTCTCCTGGGAGGTTTGAAAGTCACCACAGGCTGCCACAACCAGTTTCTCTTCTAACCTGTTACACCTTGTGGCCAAAACAAAAAGATTTATGCAATTAATTATTTTATTTAAATGTTTCTCTAATATTTTAGCCAAAAATGATTCAGAGTTGATGCTCGCCGTGACTGTTGACTCAGGTATTGCCATAGAAGGGCTTTATCTGCTTACCCCTGTAACCCTCCCCTCCTTACACTTTTGTCTTAAAGTAGCCTGAGTGCTACATGTGAGGTTTCTGTTTGGCCTTAAAAGTTGATGAAATTATGCACTACAGTTTTACAGACATGAGCGACAGCTTTAATCCTTTTTTTTTATTATTCATATCCTGTTACCTACCTCCCAAGAATGTAGTCTGTTCTGGAGTTTAGTTGACTGCAATGTTCTTTCCTCCCACATTTAGTTTTTTATTTTTTCCTCATTCTAAAACCACAAAATCAACCAAAGTCTCCTGGCAAAGGCAGCCCCGCAGAGCCGTGTGAATTCAAACCTCCCCTTTTATTTAAAACCACAAACATGCCAAAACTGAGTTTGCCGTCTGTTCTGTTCTTGTGAGGGATTTCATTTCGCTGAAATAATGTCTTCACATCCAATGCTAAAGCTCCTTGTTCTTGTAAAGTTGTAGGCTTTGATTTTTCTGAGTCATATTTCCTTTTTTTCTTTTTATTTTGGAGGTAATAATTATGCTTACAGTTCACAAAATAAGCTGTAAACCCTGTTAGGACAAAAAAATGTGAATGTGTGTCACTTACTATAGTTCACTCTTTGGCTTGACTGTAAGTTGCGTTTTAATAAAAATGTTTCAAACATGTGGTGGTGCGGTTTTTAATTTATTTCGTGTCTTGATGTTTTTGCTGAGTTTAAGTTTGACTCATTTTGTGACCAACATATGAAAGAAGGCCTCAGTAATTTATAAGTTTATACAACAAAGTTAAAGTGTTAACCTTACTGATGGGTAGTTGAACTCTCGTTGAACGTGTCGACACCGACACATTAATGGCTGTCCTGAATGTTACACTTGTTTCTCTGCTCTAACACACTTGATTTGAATGAATGTGATTAACAGCCTTCTGCAGAAATGGAACAGGTTTTTCAATTACTGAATCGTGTTTGGAGCAGAGAAACCAGTAAAATTTGCAGGATAGCGGCTCTAGGGAAACAGGGTTAGACGTTTGTTACTCAGATGTCAAGCTGGAGCAAAGGCATGGATTCAATGAAGTGTGACATTGACATGAGTGGAGCTCATTGATGCATCAAGTGTCCAGATGTGCAGTTTGACAGTTCTATGATGAGGTGATCAATTTAGAGCTCGGACAAGTGTTTTGTCCTTGAACGATGTAAAAAAACAGGTGTATTAAAAACTATTGTCACATCTTTAATTCTCAATTTCCTCATAAAAATGTTAAAAACAAAGACATGGGGTTGATGAAAGAACATTTCAACAATGTAGAGAATGTTCATGAGGTAACTTCCCAAAGTGCAAGAATGTTCCAGAACAAAAATGGTGTTAAAAGATTTAAAGGGGACAATTTGTTTTTTAATCCTTCTTCACATTTAAATCATTCAGTTGGGGTCTATATAAAGAGGAGCTGGAACGCTTTGGTCTGAAATCCTCGTTACTCCACAAGCCTCTCTTTCACCTCTTATGRGATATCTCGGATCAACTCGTTATGAGGCTGTCTCTTTAAATCCAAACAAGGCCCCCTTCCAGTGATCATTGTCCACCCAAACTCATTTTGACCATTTTTGCAGTTTGATAGTGTGGTGGCACAGAAATTTAGTTACAAATCAATCAAAAGATCATCAACTGAAGACTTTTCCATCCAGTCACATGTTGGAGCCAGAGGAGAATACTGTGACAAGATTGTTTAAAAAAAAAAAAAAAACGTAATCAAGAAAACTTAACAGGTTGAAAAATATGACCCAAACAGAATAAAGACATCCACACAGCACCAGAAAAGATTAAATTAAACTTCTCTGCAGAGACTCAAAGTACACGAAATGTATTTAAGGGCTAAAAAAAGTGAATTTTGCACAATATTTCCTCTTTTAAAGAGCGATATTTCCAACTGAAGACTTTACTTTTTAGCATTCAAAAAGGTACTTTATTTCAAAGCGGTGGATCTAAAACCTTTTTTTAAAGTTTGGTGCAGGACTTTGGCATGGACTTGGGTTTGTGCCACATTCACAGAACTGAAGACATCAGTCAATGACACGATGAAGACAAACAGGAAATTCAAAAATAACTCAGGATCATGTGGTCACACACCATAGATCACAACACTGATTAAAAAAATGGTAAAAATGTTAGACAAAATAAAGGGTTTGATCTTGACCATAAAAAAGGATTTTGTTTCTGGAAGATGTCGTTTGAAGAGTTCAGGGCCAGCTACAGAAAAACACTAAATAATTCAACAAACAGGAGATAAGAACAGCTACATGTGTTCAGTCGTGGAAACACTGCATCATCGTTTGACTTTCCTTGATCTTACGCTGAGCTTCGGGGGCAATCATGAATTCTGCTCATCAAGGATGGAAGACTGAAGGAAAAACATTACTACAAAATAAAAGTATGGAAGGACAACAATAAATTAAGAAACATTTGGTCCAAATACATCACAATAGTTTCATTCCCTGGAATCCCACATCGGATAGAAAGATCTTTCATTAAAAAAGTATAAAATAAATAAGTGCTCTTTTCCTTAGAGTGTTGCGTAGAAAAGGAGTTGCACAGTGTGCAGGCCTACGAAGAGAGAGCGATCAGATTTCATTACATATCTTGTTTTTTCAGTAGTATTTCCTCCCTCTTGTCCGATTTGTCCGGCTTTGCGGTCAGAAACAACAGAATCCGGTGCTGGTCCTCAGTAAACCCAGTTCACCGGGACCCACTGTGGTTCTATGCACAGCGTGTCCACGGCGGCCTGTAACGTCTCGAAGGCTTTATCCAGGTTGTCGTTGACGATGGTCAGGTCAAAGTAGTGGCTGTACGCCCGCTGGATCCGGGCGCTCTCGTCCACCGTCTTCTTCAGGTCCACATCCTGAAAGGACACGAGGAAACAGGGCATAGAGTCAGCAACAATAATGAGATATTAAAAAAATAAAATTACAAATGGATATTTAGTAAAACAACACATTTTTGATTCATTTCAATGTGATTAAAGATGGCCGCCACAGCTGATTAACCTTAGCAAACACAAAACGGGCTAAGACTCAGCCATTTTGAAAGATATTGTCAAATGTGGTACACAGTCAGCTCTCACAGATAACATATTTAATTAAACTTCATATTAATGGTCAATAAGCTTTCCTTCAGGGAATGCCAGTTTCATTTCAAATG